CCCCGCGGCGCCGCAGCAGCCGAGGGTCTCTGAAGAGCTCTCGAACTGGGCGGGGGGCGGCCGGGCGCCCCCCGTCATTAAAGGCCCCTCTCCAGCACTTGAAGCGATTGGGGAGCGCCCAGCCGGGCCGGCCACATGAAAACCACCGGGCGGTTGAAATGGGCGCATTGAGATGCGCGGAGCGCCGCGGCGCGGGCTCGCTCTCGAGGTCAAGTGACGGACGGATTGTATGCTTCTTCATAATAATATTAATTAAACAATTTGCATGCTAATAAGGTAACAATTATCAGGGCCTCTGTTGAAAGATTCAAGTTATTACAACACGCCAATCTGGGGGCCAGGGGTCAGAGAGTGAGAGGCGAGCGAAATTTCAACTCAAATTAACATTCTGTCAGCTCCAGAAAATGGGATAAATAAAGTCGAATTAATTCATTATAATAAAGAGAGATGGGCTCTGGAGCCCGGCCGGCGCCCCTGCCCTCCCCGCGGGCGCGCTGATTGCCGTTCGGTATTCAGCCGCACGCGCTGCGCGCTCCTCCCGCACCCCTACACCCAGCTCGGCGCTGGTGGCCGCCGGCGAAACCCAGGCGGTGGACAGAGTTTACATTTAGTATTTATAGAGAAAGAAATTAAATTATGGCGGAAAGTAGTGCTCTTGGCCCCCGACCTCGGAATTAAGCCTTGCAGCGATGCCCTCGTGCGCCTGGAAAAGGGAGGGTGAGTCCTAAATTCCGGGTCGCCCCTGTCGCCCGGAGATGGCGGCCTGTTCCTGCAGCCCCTACACCTTTCTCCCTCCGGACCCAAGAGAGAGCAGAGTAGTTCCTGCGAATCTGGCGGCCTGGACATTAGACATTTAACTAGGGCCTGCGTCCGGGCCGCCCGTTGAACTGGCTGGGCCCAGGCCTGGAATGCCCTTCTCTCAAGAGCCTCCTCCTCGTCCCTGACTCCAACGCTTCTATACACCCCTTCTCAGACACCATAGATACCTGGATGGAGACAAACACACAGACACAGAGCTGCAGACACACGCACAGTTCTGTCCTGACATGTCCTGCTCCTCCACCACGGGCAGGGGCTTGGCGACCAAGCTCAAATAACTTCCACCAAAAGCCCATTTGTCTCTTCCTCCTGGCATGAGAGGCTCAGGAGGTTCTCGGGACAGCCCGGGCCAAAGGCAGCGGTCAAGGATTTTCTCCCTCCCTGCTCTGCCGGACTCTGGCGCATCAGACCCGGAGGACATGGCAACCCGTGTCCTCGCACCTGGGGTCCCTATTCCCGGAAGCCATGAGATATTACCTCACCATTGGCAAACTTAAAATATCTATGTGGTGGTGATGTGCTATGGAGTCGGTTCCGATTCAATGTGACCCTGTATAGGGGTTCTGAGGCTATATATATTTGTGTGTGTATATATATATATATATATATAATGCTGCACATAATGACTTTTTTCCTTTTTACCCACAGTCCTAATTTGCAGCTTATTTAAGAATATATCCTTTAATGATTTAGCTTTGAGGCCATCAATATTTTATAATGAAGGAGGGGAGTGACAGTTCTCAGAGAACATAATTTAATTATAATAAATGGGTTGGGTACCTAGACCCACCCTTCAGAGCCTGAGTCCGGGCCGCGCTAGTCATTTTTTATAGGCTGTGTAGGGAGCCCGGCCGGCGCCACACCAAAGTTACTTTCTCTAGCTCAGCCAGCCTCCTCTTTCCTCCGTCCTGCCCCTCATTTTGCTGGGTGGGGATAAGGTGGGGGTCAGGGCGCCACCCCAGTTTCCCCATCCACCCCCACAGCTTCCCCAGCGCAGTCTTAAGTCCCGGAAACTCTCATCTGTGGGGGGGGGGGGAGGGCACTAATTAGGCTTTTGTGGACAAGACTCTGTCTTCTGCAAGGACTTTCTCCTCTTTGGGAGTCGCCTTCCTCCCGCTACGCCCTCCCCCTCCTCCCCCTCCTCCTCTTCCCGTCTCCCCTGCTGCCTGGAGCCGGAGAGGAGGCTCTGAGAAACCCTTGTAGTTTTAAATTCAATGTGACAGCTTCGGAAAGAGCGGATGATGAATCTCCTATTATTGGATCAGTCTATTTGCCGCTCAATGTCTCCCTGTAATTGGAGCAACATCACTTTAAAGGTTCAGAGAGTACAGCATTTCTGGTGAAAAATCCCCACAACACGCCGGTGAATGTTTTAAAGGGAAATCTATTAGTGAGGTGCGGAGGGCGGGGAG